ATGAAGGATCTGTTACATTCAGCCTTTCTTCCTTGTTAACTGAATGTTGAGCCAAATTGGGCACATGATAGAAAACAAACTGCAACTTTCAGTAAAATGAAGTGACTTGAATACCCATGTAACTAAACAGTTATTTCATATAAAATGTGAGTGTTACTTATACAAAGAAAAGCAGTTAAAGTATTACAGCTGTAGACATATAAAAGACGGACTGGGTCTAAAAAGTGAAGCCAGTCGAGTTTGTAAATTTTGGAAGGAGAATAATGAGTACACTTATTTGTTAAGGCTTATGATTGACAATCCATTAAACAATGAGAGTGCGGTTTCATAGTCAGACCTGCTGCTTCTAATAACACCACAATGGTGAAGGTAAAAACGCGTATCCGGAAGCTTTAAAGCCAACGGGAGACGTCACATTGCCAAGCCCACCTTTTACACCGTCTATGATGTCAGACAGGACTACCCATTGAAAGACTGCTTTAAACAGAGTGTTTATTCCCAATAGGCCAGCATAGTCATTCCACTTCAAAAGCAATATCACATAACACGTGCAACAAATTAAAGGAAAAACCTGAACCTTTGACCCTTCCCCTACAGTGAGGGGTGGGAGTTAATTAAACTTTTTATAGGAGTTCTAAATTGGCTGCAGGTGTGAGTGGCATACCCCGCCCCTCGCTCTCACCCAAAGTCAGCTATGACAGGATCCAGTTCCAACATGACTCTGGTTGGTGGTTAAGAAAGACAGATGGATGTATGTACGTACAGGAGAGCTGATGTTTTAAGTTGGCGCTCTGCAAAAACCAAATCACAAAATTAGTGAATAATCTCTTAGGTTAAAGCCGTTTATTGCAGAGACAGCTGGACTGAAGCTGTTCTGGCTCAACATGTCGCTAAGCACAGATTGGCAATTAATCAAATTATACTTTCAGTTATAATTTTGGCCTTTTCTCTGTTTGGTCTCACTGCTGTGTGGTATTTTGCACAGTACTGCTGGTTGTGGAAGAATTTATCAAAAATGATGCTTTTGTTGACAACTAAGATAAGAACCACCTAGGATAATGCATCTCAACTTTTCTTCAGGTCAAGAAGGGCTTTGGAATTTTTTGTTTGTGTTGTTCCTTTGCAGCTGTGCACTTTCATCCCTCTCTAAAACCCCAATCAAGCTGTTGCTTCATGATGGCTTTTTCCTTTAATTTGTCACCCAGCAATTTTTCCCCTTTTTAAAATCACGTATTTAAACCATCCACTGTAAATAGTGATTGAAATCATCAAGACCTCTTTTAAAAGTTCCCAGTAGGTTTGTAGTAATAACACTCCATGTCAAGCTTCAGAGCATATCAGAAACAAAAATGTAAACATAAATCCAAATAAATTATTAACTTTTAAAAAGCAAGGTTGTGTTTTTTCTTTTTCCTTGCAAAAGCAAAGTTACAAACTGGATAATCGACGCAGCTTACATCCAACCGTCTCAGCAGTGACTGTTTTTAATCCTGAGGCGTCATCGAGTGACGGCAGCTTTGAGTACAGAGTTGGGCCACGATGAAAAGGCCAACGACATCTTCCTCTGGTGCACACACCTTGGTCTGTAAAAGCTGTCTGAGTGTGTGACTGTTCAGCCATCAGTGGCTAGGATCAGTACAGCGGCGAAGATGCCCACATTATGACCTATCAGCTTCATCTGGTTCCAGAACTCCACCTTCCGAGTGTGGTGCCAATAACCAATGTTACCATCGATGAGCAAGATAATAAGAGGAAGGATGGTGGCCAGGATCTGAGCGGCCAGGCGGATGTAGCAACCGGAGAGGAAGGCCAGAGCCAGGATGCCGAACACCACCTCCAGCAGCATCAGAGTGACCTCTCCCCCAACGATGTGGTTCAGATAGACCTGCCTGTCTTCTTTGCTGTGCTGGAGGGAGTAAACCTAGTGGGGAGAAAATAGCACTGCAGTATTTGAACTAAAAACAAGGTTTGATCAATAAAATGTTACTCAGAAATTTATGGAATATTATTATTATTTCATATAAATGATTATCTGGTTTGTAGAAATTAATTTCAAGTAGCTAATTTTGTGTTATTTGATCACAGAAAGAATTCTGGTCAGACTCAAATTTAAAAATGACCAGTATGCACAGTTTTGTCTAAGCAGCACTAAAAAGATATACACTTAGTTTATAAAGACACTAGGGAAAATAAAGAACATCTTATATTTAAAACCTATTTAGTTCAATGGCATTGAGTAAAAATAACAAAACTTCACACTTAACAATCTAGGTCTGGGTCGTTGTGGCAGCTGTCTAAGCCAAGATTCCCACACTTGCTTCTCCCAGCCAACTCCTTCAGTTCTCCTGGGAGGACACCAAGATTTCCCTAACAAGCTAAGAGACATTATCTCTCCAGTGTGTCTTAGGTCTGTCCTGGGGTCTCCTCCTAGTAGGACATGCCCAAAACACCTCACCTAGAAGATATCCTGGTCAAAAACCTGAACGACATCAACTCATCGCCTTAGAGACACTGATGTCTTCTCGCAGTGTCTCTAAGGCCAAGTAAAGACACCTTTCAGAAAGAGCTCATTTCCACTGCTTGTATCCACAATCTCATTTCTTTAGTCACTACCCACAGCTCATGAACAGGTAAGGAAAGGAAAGGAAAGTAGATTGCTAAATAAACTGCTTTGCTTTCACACTCAGCCTCTCCCTCACTGAACACACTCCATGTGTCAATCTCCTGCTAAACTCTCCCCTACTTGTGAGCAAGACCTGGAGATTCCTAATCTCCCCAAAGTGGCCTATAGCCCAACTAAAATCTATAGAAGTGAAATGTGTCTTACCATGCAAATGAGATAGACTCCCAGAAAAACTTGTCCAGTAGACTGCAGGGATCTGCTGCGAGGTTTCTGTCTGTAAACTTCCCCTGCGCCGCTGGCCAGAATCAGAAAGCCTCCAATAATGGCCAGCGCTCTGGAGTACATTCGCACCTGCAGTGAAAAAGATTCAAACTGTCACAATCTGGGGCAAGTTCCTACCACAGTTGCTCTGATAAAGCAATCTACTCTGACTTGTAGTGGTGGCCCAGATCCAATTTCACCGCCATGTGTGACACAGATCTACTTTTGATTAATAGCTCAAAGACTGATCCAGGCCATTGTTTGATTTAGTAGAAGTTTAACCTCCATCAGTGGTCAAAAAATGAAATTTACTACATTCAATGAATATCAGCCATAAACGAATATGTGCTCAAAAGTACTAGAGTTCATGTGTAGTGCAAAAAGACAACCCAAAAATAAACATCTCGAAGAACATATTACTGCATGTTGACACCATGCATGTTATATATTATCACATCAGACTGGTGTCAGATATTACATTAAATAAAATCTGTCAGGCAATGGTGAGGCAGAAGATCTGCTATGGCAACCACTATAGGGAGCAGCCAAAGATTATTCAGAGGGTCCTCGTAGGTTTTATTCATAGACAGGATCCTTCAGAAAGTGGGAGAACCAGCAGAATCCCGTCTCCAGTCTCTCCACAGAAAGAGACAATGATACAGTCATAACAAAAAAAATAAAAATTTGCTTTTTCAAGTATTCTCTATCACAGACTAATTTATTCATTTTCCAAAGTACTTTTCAAACCAAACTCTTCCATTTCACCAATCTTCTGAACTATTTTTATCCACTCAGTGTTTGTTAGAGATTGCTTATTTAAACACATATTAGTTATTGCTGTCCTACTTTTAGTTAACAATATAAATATAACAAAAGCAGTCTTTTTTTTCTTTTTAGCTCAGGTAGCACATTCACTAAATAACACTAAAATCAAAGTTAATCTGTTTAGCTGACAATTTAACTTATCTCTGTGAACAGAACTTACTTTTCTATCAAAGGACGTCACTCACCTTAAGCCATTCTCCATAATACACCTGCTCTCCAACGTATGATGCGTAAGTACTGATGGCAAGCTGTACGGCAGCAGCCAAAGCAAACCACCGTCTCTTCACCCCAAATGACATGAAGCTGGCACAGATCACCGCAGCGCCCATGTCCACATACAGGTACGGTATGTGGATATCTGGCTTCCTGTAGATTGTTGGGAATTAAAAGCGTCTCAGTGGGTCAGTTTTTCCCCCGCCTCAGAATAAACGTTTGTGTTAGGGTATAGATTTACATTTATATTTATACACTTTCCGTGGAGCAGCTGTAATTACAGGATGGTTCAAAGGGGTGTGGTTGTCCACCACAGACTGAAAAATACACACCCAGTATCAACACTGAAACGACGACCAAGAAAGAAAATTACAGCATACCCTATCTAAAATTACAGACGAGGCCAAATATAACACGGCTTCTTAATTTAAACCACTTTTTCAGCCCATCAACTTTCGGCATGGGAGTAATTTCTGCAATTCAACTCACATTAGCTAGCAAGCACATTCCCACATTTAAGAGAAAAGAAAAAAAGGTTGCTTCGTGTAACTTTATCCTTTAAACTCAACCTTTTCAGCCATAACAATTTCCAGCTAATACTTCTCCACTAACATGTTTTAATATTTAGACTATTTTTTCCCTCAAAGTTTGACTCGATCTTAAAGTAGCAGGTTGTTAGCGCGTCAGCTAACTTGAGCTAGCTCTCTCGTTCTTTCTTTGTTTACCTTTTCGAGTCCGCTCGTTCAGCAAAGAGCATCAGCATGCTGAAGCAGTTCCAAAATCCAAACCGGGTCAAAATAAACGCTCCCACTTGGCTTAGAAACCTCAACATCTGCTTCCTACTGGGACCCGCCATCGTTGCTGCTGCACATCTAATCGCCAGCGATACAGTATCGGATACATCATTAACTTCCGGGTAACAATATGTTCACGTGTCGAACTAAAAGCATATTTTTCAGCTATTATTTTGAAAGGTTTTGTTCTGTCTTCCTATTGGCTGATGTGACAAACAGGTGGGTTGGGCCACCGGTGTGGCCCAATCACTGTACTGGCGGGACAAAAGCTATTCGACAGCCCCATCTGCAGGAAAAGATTCGTAATCACAGAAGGGATTAGAGGTCATGAGAGGAAATGATAGTTGACCTCCATTGCTCTAAATAGAAAAGGCTTGGATTTCTTTCTCCTATTAAAAAAGACCGTCTTTTAATATTGATTCATTTTAAGTGAATTCATTAATTTTTCTTCAATAAAACAAGAAAGATTAGGTGACTTAACGTCAAGTCATCTAATATCCCTTAACAATAACTATGCAAAAATATTTGTAAATATTTTCTTTTCTTTTTATTGAAAACTGAATTTGTATACACCCCCAAAAAGCTTGTATTTAATAGATTAACGCTGTTGCTTAAAAGCATTAAGTTTTATGTTGTATAGTTGTATATTTTACACATATTAACTTTTTATATTCAAAATATAAAAGCAAATATTTAGTGTGAGTCTTACTAAAATATTTATTTATATATAATACAATAAATATTCTACATAACCTCTTTGGCTCTGATAAAAGCCTCAGTAATTTATATTGTCAATTTATCAGGCCCTGTTGCATCTTAAAGACTTCATAGTATCATAATAAAGCATTTGCTCTAATACTCTAATACTGCTCTAATACTGTAGGGTCAGTAGCTTACAATATAAAATGCCAGGAGGTAACTGCTGTTGTGAATTGTGCTACATAAATAAACTGAATTGAATATTTTTTGTTTTTACTCTTGATTGTTTATTATACTAAGGTAGCCAAAATCAAAAATTTAAATATCTTTAAACTTGATTCTGGTTTCATTCAATTACAATTATTTTTTTTTAAACTTTATACTTAATTTCCAACTTATAATTCCTCTATTTTTTGTGTAACTGTGCAATATAAATTAGCAGTCTGTTAAAACTCTTCCAATCCCATAAAAATGCTATGAACACACCAGTGACGGTCCTGCTCATTAACAAGTGTTCATAACAAAAGAAATATTCCAAAAACAATAAAATAAATTGTCAAAGCCACCAGTGACAATAACAAATACCTGTAAAGGACATTTAGCACAGCTGTTTTGCAGTAAAAATGAACTCAAGGGAGGGGAAAAAGCCTCTTCACAATGAAAAGGAGTGTTTCTACTCTGCTGTTAATCCACAGTGAGGTTAATCTTGAGTAAATGAGACTAACCCAGATTCTGATAATGGCTTAGTGTGAGTCCCACTGAAGGTTTAGTGGAGGCTAATTAGCTTTCCATGTCTGTCAGATGTCAGTTGGAGGTGATGTGAACAAAGCGGTGAAAATGTTAATGCTTCCAGATTGAGTGACGGCAGCTAAATGCTATCACTTTAAATGAAGTGAATGGCTTTCAGTTAATGTTCAATGTGTTGTTTTAATAAATTAATAAAGTACTGCCAGTACAAAGCTGAAAATAAACCCACATTTGAACAAAAACACTTTACTCACCAAAATATATTCTACAGAAACAGCAAGATCAGAAACCCTTCCTTATTGTTTTATGATGATCAGCAATCTCACCCACCTTTGTATTTATTTTCACTTCTGTAACTTATTTCCAAAGTAAAACTATTGTCAGTACTTTAACTGAATTAACACTAATGATAACAGAAATATGCAAAAATCCACACATTCTTCACTGAAGCAATGCAGATAAGTGAACAAAAAACCCATTTTACTTTTTTCTTGTACTTTCTCTGAAGGACATTTCTAACAGCTATTTTTGTGCAAAGCTAACAAGTGATGCCACTAACTGTACTTCTGTCAAAAGAATGTCTTTGCATCGCACTTGTGTGTACTGCACATGTTTTTTTGCCCTTTTTTCTATACATCTCTCTTCTCTCTACATTTCTCTATGAATCATGCAGATAAGCACAGATGATAGATAAACCAATAAGAAGCCTTTTTATTCCTGCTATTTTGTTTTAAATCACTTTGATGTCAGAAAAGCATGCAGTGATGCAAAATAATCAATAACTTTCCTCAAATGAGTTAAAACTGAACTAATGAGTCTGTCATGAATATGTATTGAATAATGATTCTGTAATAATTGCACAGATTCCACCATGGTCTATTTTGCAAGATTGACCTAGAGTATATCTGCAATGAGTCTGTGGTACCTTATGTGCCACAACTCTGTGCACTGTATTGTTATTCCCAACTACCTGAAATCACAACAATCAGTTTAAACAAACAATAGTTTTGGGTAAAACCTCTTTGGGGGACAGACCACATGTTTCTCAGAGCATATCCTCTGCAAAGGATCTGCTGTTCCCACATCTATCATTTCTATTTCCATGTCTCACTTTCTCCAGCATGGCATCAACAAATTGAAAGGATCTGTGTTCCCTTGCCTTCCTCCTTCCTGTTCAGGGGTCACAGCTCCTGATTGTTTAATCTCATCATGAGGGATTGGTGACATCAGGCCCAATCCTGTGCCGACCTCATCCGAAAGCCAGCACCGGGGATCAGCTGGGATGAAGAGCAGTGGGACAGCACAGATCAATCAGTGAGCAGAAGCGATCGGACTACAGTGAGGCACACAGTTGATGAGCTCTTAGGGGCCAGCACATTTCTCTGATTGTTGGGGACCCCACCATTCAACAGGTAACGACAGACTGTTTTTTCTTTAAATCGTTTTTTAAATTGAGGATTTAAACATAACTTTGACTATTAGAAAAATCTAAATACATTAGGATAGTTAGTAAAGTACACTTTTTCAATCTGTTGTGACATTTAACATATTTTGAACTGTAATTTCTTCTCACAGCCAGGATGGCTCGGGATATGTCAGATAAGGAAATCTTGAAAATGGAGCTAGACCAGTTGAAGAAGGAAGTTAGCACACCTAGGACACCAGTAAGTGCCTCTTCTTTTAGCACAATTAGCTTTAAATTTATCCACCAAAGCCTTTTGTAAACATTTAATTAAGATTCATTTTAAATGACTTGTGCAACTTCCCTGATCTTCTTTGTTTTCATCTTTCCGATAATTAACAGGTAAATGCAAACTGTACAGACACAATTGCTTACGTGGAGGGACTGGCCCCGAATGATCCGCTGATTAAGGGCGTTTCCGATGACAAGAACCCTTACAAGGGAGACAAGGGCGGCTGCATAATAACATAGCACATAGAAATCCAAGGAAAAGTCACACAGTTTTTTATGAGAGTTGGTTGCATTGCTGTGATATTCCTGTAGCCGTTGTGGATAAAATGTACAGTAGAAAGAAAACTGAAATCTGTAATGGATAATTCTATCACTGGATTTCTGTATGCACATGTGGATATTCTTTGTCAATTTATAATTAAATCCAAATAGCTGTGCAAAGCTTCAACCTGATGTAGCTGTTCTTGTTATTGAAAATACATAACACATGGGATTTTTTTGAGCTCCTACTGTACTTTAATCTCATTTTATCACACGGGTTAATATTAAATAGTGATAACTACTCACTGATTTCTGTCCAACATCCCTGACTGTAAGTCAACATCTCACCCATGTTACTGTACAGAAGGGGGTCAAAGTCCCAAGAGAGTCAGTACTACTAATCGGATTTCTTTGCTGCAGTAGAGTCAGTCACACGGGTCTGTTGACACGGAGCCGCTTCCTGTATCAAAGTCTTTAAGCTTATTCCACATTTCATCCTGACTTCCATTTTGAGCTCTCCATCCAATTAGTGACGCTTTCAGTGCTGGCATCGGGAAATACAATTAAAGAACTCAACATTTGAGTCATCAAAGAACTCAACATCTACCTGTCAAATAGCTTTTTGAAGAGGTTTAATTTTTTCCAATATTGTAAGAATATTATAATAACACAAAAGATAGATGATGGGGCTGCTGGGTACAGATTACAAATCAGAGTATAGAGACAGAAACTAAAACAAATACAAAAAAGGAGCAAAAAAGAATTTTTGAAACATAACCTATAAATATATATAATTATCACATAATTTACCAGTAAATAGTAAACAAATTATTGCATGATGACTTGTTTATATAAATGTTATTATAAAGAATAAGTAAGATCAAAAGATCAAAAGAAGAATCACTTTTAAATTGCACCAATTGTGAGTCTAATAAAGTTTTTGTTGTAATTTTAGTGTAATGTAAAATGGGAGAGTGAAAGCATTTTGAAAAGCCTCAACATTGCTGAACATCAGGTACACAGGTGTGGGGTAACGGAGTTTTTCTGCCTATTATCAAACCAACCAGTCACTCTCTGCTTGGCTGGGTCTCAACTAATAATCAAAACTGTTTCGTATTTTCAGTCTACAAACAGAGAAATCAACAGGTCAGCACGAGTGGAACCAAATCCAAATAAAACTGATAAACACATAGATAATGTATAAAATAGGGGCATAGCTTCTCAGTCTAAAATGTGAAACCTATGCAAAAGTGCCATAAAGCTGTTTTCTTTCTAATGGCCAGTAGGGGGTAAATCTGGCACTTTAAGACAAGCAGACTTATTTTTTCAAGTAAGTCTGGTTAAACAGCCCTAGACTGCCATGCTCTCTGATCTCAGTTAATACTTTTCTGATGAGTTTACGGTCTGAATCTGTACTTACTAAAGACAATATGATATTTATTTGTAAATTTTTGTCACCTTTAATGTCCAGATGGACAATAAATCAGGGTATTCTCATGACTGTATAAGTGTCACATTTTTACTTTCACTTGCAATGTTTGATTTCAAAAAGCTAAAATCTTAGCAAATCAGCTACATTCATCTTGTATATGCTGTCCAGAAGGAAGAAAGAAAAATTTTAAGAGGTGAGGTGTGTATGAGCAACTGCCCGGGGACCCTCAGTAGAGTCTTCACCAGAGTCTGCAGTCAGAAGAGACCAGCAGCCGGACTTGGGGGCTTGTGGGCTGGAGTGCAAGCTTCTTAAGTACAGCAACCCTAATAGCTGCTGCGGTTTACTTAGACCCCCTCTGTCCTATCGATCTTTTTGAGTTAACATCAATCATTTCTTCTTCTTAACCATCAATGTGCCTTTAAGTCTCCATTCCTATAGGACTGCTGAAAGATGATTAATTTGAAATATGATAACTGGCTACATACCACAGGCTTTTGAGGTGGTGACAATAAAGCCATTACTTAAAAAGGCCTTACCTGATCCAGCGGTGTAAACTAACTGTAGAACAGTTTCTATCCTTCTTTGCATTTCAAAAATTCTTAAAAGAGTAGTTTTAAAACGGTAAGCGTATCATTTGCAAAGAAATGGTTGAAAAGCTTCAATCAGGATTTTGAGCACACCATAGCACAAAAACAGCAGCAATACTTTTTACATTATGCTTTCCTGAAGTAATATTATTAGAAAGCGCTGTACATATTTTCATTGGTATTTCAGATGTTAACTAGATTCACCTGTATTTCTAATGCTATAACAACTCTTAATGTCTTAAACCCACAAGAGTTACTCAGCCTGCTGAACTGTAAAGGCATAAAACATGACACATGCATATAAAGTCTAACGCAACTTGTCTATAGTGTATTATCTTAATTGCCTTATCAGATTACAGATATTCATGTTACGGTTCTGGGTCAGTTTGACCCAGTGTTTTGAGTTATGTTTTGGTGTGCTTTTGCATTTTGGATTCTTTTCTTATTATTATGATAATGATGATTATGACTCTGTTTCAGTTATTCTTGTTTAGGGATGAGTTCGTAGGTTTTGTTCTCATGTTTATTGCAGGTTTAGTTCAGTGTCTAGTCTGTCTCTCAGTGTCGTGTCTGCGTCTTTGTTTAGTGGTGTCTTGTTTCCTGTTTTACTCTGAAGGTTCATGTTCCTGTCTTATGTCAGTGTTCCAGTGTTCCCCCTGTCTCGTTAGGTCTTATTCCTCCCAGCTGTGTTCCCCTTCTGTCTCTAATTCCTTGATGACTTCCTCAGTGTATTTAAGCCCAGTGTGTCTTTGTGTCAGTGTCGCGTCGTCTGTTAACATTCCTGTCATTCTAGCTACACGCCATAGTTTTTCAGTCTCTCTTCTGGTCATGTTCATAGTAATCTGCTCCTGTCATGTTCTCATAGCCTTTCATGTACCAGTCCAGAAGACTGTCCTTTGCTTTTTCTTGTCGTGTGCATAGCTCTTAGTTACAGTCTAAATCAGAGTCTTAGTTTTTCTTAGTCTTTAGTTGTTTCCCAGTTTAGGCCCTTTGTTTAGGTCATTGCCATAGTTTGTGTTTGGTTCTTTTTGCTTTACTGTTTACCGGCCCTAATAAAGGCTCACTTTAAGTTCAGTAAACATTTTTGCCTCCGTCTGTGTCCGCACCTGGGTCCTCCAAACACCCTACACAATTCAGAATTGCTCTAATGTATATGGGCTTCCTGTGAGTTGGTTGCAATAACAAAATGGGATGTTACCTTTAAATTACCACCTGTTATAGGAATCTGAAATAAATTGAGACAACCAGATTGGCTTTATGAATTTGTAACCTTTGTAAAGGGTTCAAATATGGAAGCAGTCTTCATGCTTTTTTAAACCAAGAAAGGTTGTAAGCCTAGAATATTTATTACAAGTTATCTGCTGTGGTCACAGTTATAAAAACACTGTTATAAAAAAAAGATCACCATATACTGATGTACAGGTGCATCTGAAAGAATAAGGTAAGCTTGACAGAGCAAAATCTCACAAGTCTCAATTACACATCTCACAAGTGTTACAGGCTGAAGTTTGATAGCTCAACAGGCAATGGACCCAACCCCAGCATTACACAAAACCATCAACATGTAGCGATTATTTATATCTGCATTTAATATAAAAAAAAAAATCTACTTGAAGTTTAAGGCTACATTTCTGTCTGCCACAATTTCAAATTCCTTCCGACCATCGTAGCAACTTGTTGCTTCATTGTGGTTCACCCTATCTGTGGCTGCAGATTAAATCTGTAGCTCAAAGTCGAATGAACGAAAGTGTAACTTGAGTGCAAAGTTCATGAGTGGATTACGTTAAGAAAAGTAGATCAGCTAGCAATCCATATATAGCTTCTTTTAAGAGAAATATAACATTGGTGCAGCAGGTCTAATTTCAGTGTTATTAGGCTCATTTTCTTCTATCGTGTAAGAAGTCTGACTCTTATATTCACCAGTAATGATTCTTAAAATGCTAAAATTTACTGAAGCAAGTTACCTCAGATGCCCTGTTGTAAAAACATAAAATTGGTCATGAAGTCCAAGAAGACTTCAATACAATATTATCTAAATTGTCTTATCAGATACGAGCAATTACAACTATCTCTATCTAGATTTGCCGTGAATGCTCTAGATTGACTGAATGCAGTTTATGTAATAAATTGGGTTATTGATTTGAAATTAATATCTTTAGTATTTGTTCTTTAAAACAATTGGCATTCAGATCCCCCTACATAGTGTCAGTATCTTTAACATTTTAGGAATTTCTTCAAAACAACAACAACAAAACAATTAGACCAGTTCATAATTTTCCTTTGATGTTTTTGTCTGTGCCCTAAATGAGTGCTCAGCAAAAAAAAGCATTACACACCATCGTTATTGTAATCTGTTATCACAGGAAATATGGGCCTTTCGCCACTTTACTGCTTGTCATAACACATATATCACTACATAGCAATTTCTTGCCCCCTTTTCCCCAGACCTTTGGCACGATAAAAGGTGCCTCATCAGGGAGGCGAGTGTTTAGATCGCACCTGCAATTGCTGCCGTGTACAGTCCTGCTGCAGATCGAGCTCCAGAATCAGCGATTTGACAGTCTCTGAGATGTGGCTCTTGATTTTCTTAGTCTGCCTGCTCATATGTGCAGGTACATACTGGTACCTGTTTGGGAAACCGAGCCCCTTCTCGCTCGACTCAGTGAGACCGCCTGCACCGCGGGAGTTTGATCAGAAGAAGCGCGACAAAGTCATCAAGCAAGGTAAAATGACTGCAGGTGAAAAGAGCTGCATGCAGCATCAGAATAAAGTTGTTCCTGGAGAGTCAGAATTCCTGGATAATTAGCCCAGCCTAGAAAGGGAGGGGAACATAAACAACTTTTTATTTTTATTATATCACTTCAAGATATTATGGCCGAACTTAAAAAAAAAAAAGTCAGTGAGTCATTCATACAGGAAGAACGAATTCAAATCTTTCTTCAAAAAGTTCCACTTACGGGTGTGATTATTATATTATGCTCCTCTTTTTATAAAATGATTTTTAACAAATAAAGGCTACGTCCACACGTACCGGGTATTTTTGAAAACGCAGATTTTTCTGTGTTTGCACCTTTCGCCCACACGTAAAGGAGATTTTTAAAAACTCCGGCCAGGGTGGATATTTTTGAAAACTCCGTTTTTGCATTTAGTGTGGACGAGAAAAATGGAGAAAA